TGGGACTTGTAGTTTCTTTATTTACAGATCTCTGAGCCTATTTTGAACGTGACAGCGGGTGCAGGGAAGAAAAACGCCTGCCCACTGTCTTGGGCTCGGGGAGTGAGTGAGTATGCTAGAACATGTTCCACCAGGCACAAACCGTTTTTAAGTTGATTTTATCTGAGCTGATTGGTGCTGACAGGGCCACCCATGGCCCAAATTTTGCCCAATTGTTTGCAAGAATCAGCTGAAATTCAAGCAGTGTACAGCCAGCTTTAGTGGGTATTTCTACTTTTGTCAAATTTGAGAAACCTCTAATGATCGACTCCTCTCAAATGGAACTGTGGTCAATTTTCACTTGATCAGTGATGCAGCCAATCTGCTGCAGTGCTGATCAGTATATTCTGACAACAGAGGAGTCCCACTGTCAGAATACAATGACACCGCAGGAGGGATTCGAGGTGGATGAGGGGATCTGTTCAGTTTTTTTCCGTCAGTCTGCTGCTGGTAGCTTGAGGTGAAGGTGTCATGGATGATTCTAAGAATCTCTGGACAGTCTCATGGTCCTTTTCCCCACACAAACTTAAGCTGCCATACATGAATCGAAATTGGGCTGGTTCAGCAAGGACTGGCCGTATATAAAACAGTGTATGGGCACACTGGTTGTACAGAAATAGATGTGCTGATCGACTTCTGTACAACCAGCCTGTTGGATTCTCCCCACTCAATCAGTGCCACAGGCTATAGTCAGCAGCACCGATCAGTGTATTCTGACGCCATCCAAATATAATAACTCAGCAGGGAGGTTTTCCCCATCTACATTGAGTAGGTGGATGGGGGACTCAAGTCACATATTCATTTTTTTTTTTTCTTTTTCATTCAACCCGCTGGTTGAACAAAAAAAAAACAATTACTCCTGTACTGGCTGCATTGGCTATACTTTATTAATATACAAGGTGGTTTCTAGCTTTTTAACCCTTTGTTAGGACAGACAGTGTTCAAATCTAGTTTACAGCTGATAATGAAACCTCTTAATCGGGATGGATACAAATCGATGATTTAAAAAAAAAAAAATTGGATTTTTTTTTTTAATTTTTAAATTGGATTTTTTTTTTATTTTTAATCAAATTTTTTTAATTTTTATCAAATTTTTTTTAATAAAATGCTTTTAGAGTAAAATTTTATCTAAAGATATAGTTTTCTATTTAAGATAGATTAATCATTTAGTTTATTCAGCATGAAATGGAGCTTAGCCATATAGCACCAGGCTGTATATTCTGCAATATTTACATTTTTGGTAAACTCATTCAATGAATCCAAGCTATGCAAGCTGACATAACATGCACTGCATTGATGATTCCCACAATTTCACAGTAACCATGAGATAAAACATGAAATAAAAGAATTTGAGTAGTTCTCCAGCAATGTGTGATTACCCTATTAATCTAAAATTGGTTCTGATATCACTGTGTTTACTAACCTGACAGCTTATTATTTATTTATTACAGGTACTTGTATAGCGCCATCAATTTATGCAGCGCTATATATATATATATATATATATATATATATATATATATATATATATATATATCCGGGTCGGACTGACAACTCATGGGTCCCCCGGCAATAGGGGATCATGGGGCCCCTGTGTCCTTGCCCAAAATCAAAAAAGCCTATGAAAAAATGGTACCAGGGGCATCTCATGGGGCCCCCTACTGACCCCGGGCTCTTGGGCAGTGTCCGAGTTTCCAAATGGTCAGTCTGCCCCTGATATATATATATATATATATATATATATATATATATATATATATATATATATATGTGTGTGTGTGTATGTATGTATGTACATCAGTCCCTAACCCTCAGGGAGCGTACAATCTAAGGTCCCTAACTTACATTCATACATACTAGGGTCAATTTATATAGGATCCAATTAACCTACCAGCATGTCTTTGGAGTGTGGGAGGAAACCTGAGTACCCAGGAAACCCACGCAGGCACAGGGAGAACATGCAAACTCCAGGCAGGTGGTACCATGGTTGGGATTTGAACCAATGACCCTAGTACTGCCAGGCAGAAGTGCTAGCCATTTTCTAAAAAGGAAACCTTCGTTTGGTTTGCAAATATTAAATATTCTAACGACCAGCAAGAATGAGTTGGATTCCTTACATTTAAAGTCATTTTAGATCCATCATGGCAGCGCCTGTTAACAGACATCCACTCACCTGCTGCCGCCACGTCTCTTACCTTGTTGTGTCACTGCCGCATCACCAGCCATCCCATCTATTAAAGTGAATGGGACTGTCAGTGAGTCAACAGCGGGTCAGAGGAGGAGTCGCTGCGGGACAGAGATGGCAGCTGCACTTTAAATAATTGTGATTTAAATCAAATTGATATCCACCTTGACATTTCTTATCTCTTGGTACAGAACAATGCAACCTCATGTTGGCAGCCACTTTGTTTACACTACACTGAAAAAAAAATACACTTCTAATTAGATGATTGCCAACAAAAGGCTTAATCAATCATTAGCAAGCGATTAAAATCAACCATGTAGATTGGCTTTTAGTCTGCAATTCCTGACACTGAACAATGAAACTGAGAACTTGCTGTGGTAGCATATCTGTCTCCACCTAACACTGAATTTGGTAAGTTGACCATAGATAAATCGAATCCCGGTTGGATCAGCAGGGACCTGCCGAGATTAGATTCTTCTATAGGTAGGCTGGTTGTACTGGAATTTGATCTAATCATTGACTTCAAGCAGAGTTCGAGTTCTTTTTTTTTTTTTTTTTTTTTTTTTTGTTTTTCAATCAAATCCCCCCTAATTTACTTACTACTCCCTCACAATCATGTACTCATCCATCTTCACTGTGGGCATGTGAAGCCCAGCCGCCCTTTCTTCCGGGATAGGGTGCAGCTGGCTACCTAGCATGCACCGCCCGATCTCGCGCCTGCGCTTTTTCGATGACAGCACGGCATTCTTGTTGGTTTGCAAGTTGCCATAGCAATGGTGGCGGAAGTTCCCACCCCATTGTTATGGCAACCCGTCAATCATCGTGTCACTTTCGGTTTCCTAATAACGCAAGATTTCGCTATTAGGCGTCCCTAGGACTCCTGGGATAGATGAAGCTGATATCCCAGAAACCCTAGGGGAGTGCCTAATGATGAAATCGCCAAGGCGGTCAGGATCGGGACTGGATTCATGAAAATAAGATATTTAGGGGAAACAATTATACATACTGTATTGCCGGTCTGTTCAGAGGGTGGGCATTGTGTTACAGGGAAGGTAAATAAATAGGTGGAATTCCACTTTCAGTACACCAGCCTGTCGGATTTTTTACATGCGAATACTTCCAGCAGTAATAGCCACCAGCAGGGATCCTTGTGTTCAGCTGGCATGGAAGAATCTCCACCAGCAGAGGACAACAGCTCAGCGGGAGGGATTCCCCCATCAACACTGTCTGTGTTGATGGGGGAGCTGAGCGATTTTCTGACTTTCCACCCATGGTTGCAGGAAAGAAAATCGTAATATCTATGACTTGCCTTAGTGTCTGTTTGATTCAAAATGAAAATTGTAAACTTATGCAGGCCATAGATGGGTCGAAAACCGGCCGGTTTTTTAAAAAAAAAACGGAAAATCGGTAAATTAATAGGCCGCCGTTACCACCAACGGTAAAAAAAAGCAGCCGATTTGCGTCCCGTCTACAGCCGGCATTTAAGTACTTCTGTCCCTGCAGAGAGCTCCGCTATTATATTTGACATGAAAAAGTATTGCGGTTGCAACAATGTATCTATTTGTATCCATTTCGGATACAGATGGTTTTATTTGGATACAAATAGATACATTGTTGCAACCGCAAGACTTTTTCATGTCAAATATAATAGCGGACTGGAATTCTTCTTTTTCTTGTTTTTTTTTTTTCTTCTTCTTTGCAGGTCACTGCTCGAGCGCAGATTTTTTTATCGGTATAAGGATCAGCCGATTTGCCCATCATTGCCGGGAAGATTGGCAAAAATGGCCAATTTGTTTCCAACTTTACCGATAAAAAAAAAATGTGCCAAAACCCCGAAAAAACGGCCCGACCAATTAACCCACTAACGTGCGAAAATCAGCTTTTTTTTTTTTTTTTTTCAGCCAAAAAATCAGCCGGTTTTTCAACCTGTCTATGGCCTACATTAAAGTCAAAAAGCACTTACTGGTCACAGGTGGCCTAGGCACCTCTCCAGATGCATCTTAGGAGATATCTCCTCAGTCTTTCCTCCTTTGTAGCTTCACAAGAAACCATGTTCCTAAAACTCGGTAAAACCTTGACCCCAATGGTCAAGGTGTGTTTTGTTTTTGTTTTTATGGGGGTGTTTGCTTTTTGAGTAAAGTAGCAGAAGATATATTCTCTATTGTTTTAGTGTTGCATCTTTATACATTTGACCCTTGTGCTCCCTTTTTCTGCAAAAATAGTTGTTTTTTCAGCTTCCTTTTTGTGTATTTATTTTTAGGCAGTCTAAAAATAAGTAATATTTTTTTTCTGTTCTTTGCACCTTTTATATTGCAGTCATGATCCCCCTTCTTCACTATTTTGTGTAAGAAAAAAATAAGATTTTTGCTGATTTTGGGTTTGTGGTGTGTAACATGTCTCTACAGCCTAGGTGCCCAACGCTTAGTGTGTAGACTGCTGTACTTCAGGCCTAGAGGATAGCAGGCTGCAGACTACATTTCAGGAGCTCTAAATGGGAATGGTGCAGGAGCTGTCAGCTGTCAGTGATGGCTGCTTTTCAGCGGTTGATAAGTTGAATCAATTGGCTTGCGTTGGGTTTGCAATCTTGCTTTAGGGCTGGTTCACACTATAGAAATGCAGTCTAGATGTGTTCCGAATGCGTTTCTGCATGCGCATTTTTGACGTGTTTTTGGCGTGTTTCGGTGCATTTTTTGATGCATTCCAGTTACATTTTTTTTTTCCCCTTTTCTTTCTTCATTTTAAATAGGGACATGTGCGTTCCGGTGCCTTTGACGCATTCCAGTTAATTTTTTTCCCCTCTTTTTCTTCAATTTAAATAGGGACATGTGTGTTCCAGTGCGTTCCGGAGCCTTTTTAATGCATTCCAGTTCTATTTCCTCTTTTTTCTTCAGTTTAGGGGCTCATGTACAATGCAGCTGATAAACTGACGTTCAGGAGCTTTTCTGCGTTTTTTTTTTTTTTCAGCAGCCCCTGAACTCTCCCTAATGTTTTCCTATGTGTCCATGTACACATAGTCATTTACAGGCAGTTGAGTTTACAGTCGTTTTTTTGAACGCACCAAACTTGCATTCAGGAGTAGATTTTAGCAGTGTTTCAAATGCCAAATGCTTGTAAACGCGGCTAACCGCGTTTATAAGCGTTTGCATTTAGAAGTGTTTTTTAACTGTTCCATGTCCAGATGCTGTGCAGAGCCTTTTCTCGTCATCAGAAATGCATGCAAAGCGTTTTCCATGTATTCAAATAGACCCGGTACACCAGCGCAGTCAGTTCCAGGTTTTGTGTGAAGGAAACAATGGTAGAACGTGCTGCATTATGCTCATGATGGGATCCATAGTGAATACAACCAGAAGACAGGTCATCTCAACACATACTACTCTCTCTGCTTCTGCTCTCTCTATTTCTCTCAAAATGTCTGAAATAGTTAATTTTTTACTGTTTTTCAGTGCATTCTGTGCATTTTGGAAAGTATCCTGAGGTTATCTTTAAAAAACGATTCTAAACGCAAACGCGCATAAACTCGGTATGCAAACGTTACAGTTTTTTAACCTACGTTTTCCAATAGTCTGTTTCCAAAGTTAAGAAGTGTTTCAGTTCTGTGCAGGAGCAAAAATGAAGCCGTTGTTTTACTTTTTTTTTTCTTTTTTTTTTCTGCATCTGGAACACACTGGAGCTGCAAGCACTGATGTGAACTATGACATTGACAACCATATAACCTACTTTCTGTGCATTTTGGATGCAGAAAAAAAGCAACTGAAACGCATGTAGTGTGAACTGGCCCTTGGGGTGCTCCGTAGGGGAACCCTGTGCTACCACATGTGCTGTGACTTCACCGGTAAAATCATAGGCACTTACTGCAAATCCAGGTACATTGACTAGTTCTGTCCGACGTACTGCTGCAGCAAAGTTTACTGACAATGGTGACCTATAACTTGCCAATTACAGCAAGCAATGAATCACTAAGTGATCTGTTGCTGCAGGAGTGAATGGGAGTTGTATAAAGTTTCCCCTAACATAATCTACACTCCGATGAAAAAAAAAAATGTAAGAAATTAACCAAAATGATTAAATGTATTAGGGTACAACTGGGGGAATCAATGGTGGAGAAGGATCTGGGGGTTCTGGTAGATCACAAACTTAATAATGGCATGCAATGCCAAGGTGCGGTTTCCAAAGTGAGCAAAATCCTCTCTTGTATTAAAAGAGGTATAGACTCCAGAGAGAGAGATATCATATTACCCCGGTACAAATTATTATTATTATTATTATTATACAGTATTTATAAAGCGCCAATAGTTCACTCAGCGCTGTACATTACAAAGGGGGACAGAACATGTGACAGAACAATACCAATACAATGCAAAACATGAGGGGATCGAGGGCCCTGCTCTTTCGAGCTTACAATCTAGGAGGGAGGGGATAGCTGTGGGGGATGGAGTGGTAGGAAGAGTGGAGGAGGTCGGCAAGTTAGCAGAGGGTGGGGTAGGCTTCCCTGAAGAGATGGGTTTTCAGGGTGCGCCTAAAGGAGAGGAGAGTAGGTGATAATCTGATGGGTTGGGGCAGGGAGTTCCAGAGGATGGGTGACACCCTGGAGAAGTCCTGGAGGTGGGCATGGGAGGAGGAGACCAGGGAACTAGAGAGAAGGAGGTCTTGTGAGGAGCGGAGTGTGCGTGCTGGGTGGTACTTGGATATTAGGTCGGTGATGTAGTTCGGGGCAGTATGGTGGACGGCTTTGTACGTCAGTGTTAAGATTTTGAATTTGATCCGTTGCACAATCGGAAGCCAGTGGAGGGATTGGCAGGGGGGGGTGGCGGAGATGGAGCGGTTGGAAAGGTGAATGATTCAGGATCGACTGAGGCAGGCCAGTGAAGGGAGTTGCAGTAGTCAAGTCGTGATATGATGAGGGAGTGGATGAGCTGTTTAGTGGTTTCTGGGGTTAGGAACGTGCGTATTTTGGCGATGTTGCGGAGGTGGAGTCTGCACGAGTTTGTTAAAGATTGGACTTGGGGCTGGAAGGATAGGTTGGAGTCCAGAATGACACCAAGTACTCTGGCCTGCGGGGCGGGTTTGATGGTGGCGTTGTTAGATGTGATGGAGAAGTCAATGGGGGGTGGTGTCCGGGCTGGGGGGAAGACAAGAAACTAGCGAGTCAAGGGCTGTTGACAGCGCGTTGTAGGCAGTCATAGCCAAATCATTAGTAACACCTCATCTGGAATATGCAGTTCAGTTTTGGGCACCAATTCACAAAAAGAACAATGGGAAAATGGAGAAAGTACAGAGAAGGGCAACCAAACTGATAATTGGCATGAAGGAGATCAGCTATGAGGAAAGATTAGAGGAACTGAATGTATTCTCTCTTGAGAAGAGGAGATTAAGGGGGGATATGATCAACATGTATAAATACATCAGTGGTTCATACAGTGAACTCGGTGTAGAGTTATTCACCCTGAGGTCATCACAGAGGACAAGGGGGAACTCTTTACGTCTGGAGAAAAAGAAATTTAATCTCCAAATACGGAAAGGTTTCTTCACAGTGAGAGCTGTGAAAATGTGGAATAGACTCCCTCAAGAGTTGGTTCTGACCAGCTCAGTGGATTGCTTTAAAAAAGTCCTGGATTGTTTCTTGGATACACAGAATATATCTGGATACTAACATTTATAGGTAAAGTTGATTCAGGGAATATCCGATTGCTTCTCGGGGGATCAGGAAGGAATTTTTTTCCCTGCAGGAGCAAATTGGATTGTGCTTTGCTGGTTTTTTTTGCCTTCCTCTGGATCAACTGTGAGAGTAGGATTATAACTTTTTTTTTTATCTGTCTCAAAAAAATGCTAAAATATTCATATGGGTACAGTGTTGCATGACCGCGCAATTGTCATTCAAAGTGTGATAGCACTGAAAGCTGAAAATTGACCTGGACAGGAAGGGGTGAAAGTGACTTGAAGTAGTTAAGGATATCTAAGTCCCAGAATAAAAATGTAATATACAGCAGCTTACCATTCATTTACCAATTCAATACCGGGCAATTTTACACCTTCCTGCCCAGGCCAGTTTTCAGGTTTCAGCGCTCTCACACTTTGAATGACAATTGCGCGGTCATACAACATTGTACCCAAACTAAAATTTTATCATTTTCTTCACACAACTAGAGCTTTCTTTTGGTGGTATTTAATCACCACTGGGGTTTTTATTTTTTGCTAAATTAACAAAAAAAGTTTTTCTTTGTTTGTTATAAAAGTTTGCAAATAAATAATTGTTCTTCATAAATTTAGGCCGAGATGTATTCTGCTACATGTCTTTGGTGAAAATAACCCAAATTAGGATGTATTATTTAGTTTGTAGGAAAGTTATAGAGTTCACAAACTATGGTATAGATCTGAATATTGATCAATCCTGAAGTACTGACAGCCAATCTAATTTCTGAACAGTAGAGATTTCCCCCAAATGACCCCTTTTTGTAAAGTAGACAGTCCGACGTACTTCATAAGAGGCATGGCGAGTTTTTTGAAGTTGTATTTTTTTTGTCATTTTTCGGAAAATGAAAAAATTAAAAAAATTAGTTTCACGATTTTTTTTTTTACATACTGTCACCAGTGCAGTACAGCGTCATCATATAACTGGCATGGCGGTGATCAGGGACACTGACTGGTGACAGTATGAAAAAAAAATATATACAGTATATGTATTTTTTTTATTTTTTTTTTTTTTTTTATTTTTTATTAAATTTTCTTTTGATTTTTTTTTTTCATATTTCACTATGACCAAAGTAGTACAATGTTACCATAGTAACATTGTACTACTTTGGGGAAATGCTCAGTATTTTTTTTTTTTTTTTTTTTTTTTTTACACAGTTTGCTTATAGCAAAGAATTACTTTGCTATAAGCAAGCATTTACCTGAATGACATCGATTCATTCAGGGTTTTTTTTTTTTTTTTTTTTTTTTTTTTTCCTTTTTTTTGTGCTTAGCTGTGATTTGGTCACAGCTAATCACATGACATGTGCATGTGATTAGCTGTGACCATTCACAGCTAGACACTAGTATACAATGGATGGCATGAATGAATTGTATAACGGTCATGTGACCTGCTGTGATTGGTCACAGCAGGTCACATGGTACTGGCAATGGGGCCGATACTCAGATCTGTCATCGGCCGTGTCCGAGGTACACGGCCGGTGACAGATTGCGCTGCTCTGCAGGAGCGCAATCTGCGCATGTGCGGGAGGACGCCATATGGCGTCCACCTGGAACGCTGATGACATTTGCCGCCCGCCATTCGACCATAGGGCGGGCGGCAAATGGTTAAACAAGGAGACTACATTATTTTTCATTTTTCAAGCTAATTGCATTTTCAGCAAATACTGTAATTTTGTCTTCTCTATAAACTTTGTTTTTTTCTGAGTAGAGTACTGGACTTGCATTCTTAGACCATTGGTTCTATGCAGGCAACTTTCCAGGAATTGTGCACTTTTGCAATCCCACCCACTTTGTGAGACACCATTTTTTTGTTTTCTGGCAGTAAGGAGTGATCAAGAAACAGGGAAGGAGAGGGGGGCAGGGGCCTGTATTATACTCCTAAGTGGTGTTGATTTTCCTTAAAATGGTTGTAAACCTCAGACATGAAATATGAACAAAGCATATCCCTCTATGGTGTGTACTTGTCTTTATCCAGAGTACTGGATCATGCTTTGCTGGGTTTTTTGCCTTCTGGATCAACTGTGGGTATAGGATTTTTTTTTTTTTTTTGATGGTTGAACTGGATTGACTTTTGTCTTTTTTCACCCAGACTAACTATGTAACTATTGAATAGTAATTAATTGAGATAAATAAAACTTTTTTTCTCTTATGTATGCCCAGGCCCCAACAAACACGTTAGATGTTCTGGAAGACATTTGCTTTGACTTGTGTGGGTGTCAAACACTTGCATAAGTAAGCATAATGTCATTCAGAATTTTACTACTTATTCGTGTCCTGCTAATTTTTTTTTATTTTTTTGCTGCATCATTATTAAAGATTAATTACAGCTCTAAATTAGGACTTTGCCACATTTAGGGAGGTAGCTGGGGGGAGAAATGTTTAAAATTCACCATTCTAGAAAAGCCACCCGTTTGTCCAGAACAAAGGTAGACCATTTTTATGTTGTTGTAAAGCACTGTGGAAACTGTTGGCGCTATATAAATCCCCGTATAATAATATAATATTTATTTTTTTTGCAATCCTAAAATTTAATAAAGTCACATTTACAAGAACTAAGGTATTGTGGACATATTTGGGGCCATGCATAAGGCCACCATTGTTGCTCCTGGAAAGCATAATCCTTGTCCTGTTATTTTTTGAAGTTCTAAGTCTAATCGGTGACCCTTCAGTATATAATAAGAGTCCTCTAGATTAGATTAGCAATTATAGATTAGAAATTATAGATTAGAAATTGGATTTTCTGTTTTTTCTATAGGGCTTCTTCACACCAGGCGGCAACTGTGCTGCAATGACCTGCATTGATGAACGCAGGCTTGGTGTAAGGGCACATTGTGTTCTATGTGCCCTGTTTTATACCATACAGATTATGGTGGTACATATGTGTGCTTTGGTGTATAGATTTGCATGAAATGTAATTTTGTGACATTTCAATAAAAGTAAAAACAATTAAAAAAAAACGTATTGCATTGCAGCACCCTTCACAATGCACACCAGCTTGCGTAAAACATTTAATGTGTGAACGAGCCCCTAAATCAGGTCTTGCCAGGTTCAGGCAGAAGATGTTTCTCCTTTATGCTGAGCAAAGTGTTTTACAATTACAGAATATTCAGTCATTTTAAAAAGTAATAACACCCCATGGAAAAGAAATGGGTAGGTCATGCAAGGAAACCCGCACACGTGAAGGCATTTTGCATGGAGGCGTCATCCAGATTTTCAAAGAGCCAATGTCTAGAACTGTTGGGGAGTTTGCAAAACGCCTACAAAAATAATTTCTGTATAGGGGGGCAATACGAACTGAGGTCAAGGGTGTACTTACTTTTTCCATAGTACATCATCACATTTATTTTTGTTTTTTTTAATAAATTATTGAAAAAAAAATGTATGTCACCTTTTTATTTGAATGAAGATCTAATGTCTGTTCAAATATCTTGATAACATTCAACAATGGGGTATACTAACCCTTTCCCACCACTGTATATATTATAATATTGTACTGGAGTGCATTCAAAATTCAGGAAATTAACTTCACAATTAAATAAAAAAAATAAATCTCTAAGAAAAAGAAGGGTTGATGAAAAACAGAGTAAAAACTGAATTTATTTAAACAGTTAATCAGTTTTTCAGCAATGCCAACTGCACAGTCTCCAGAAATTAGTGGAAACCTTTGATTTGAGATATTGGTATGCACTAGGACTGGCTTGGTGAATGCATCCTTCCATTTTAAAGGTCCAATGGATCAATAGCCAGGGCAACTATTTAAACTTTTCTAGATTACCCTCCTAAAGCTGAAATACTTGAATCCTGTTCTTGTCTTTATGTTTTCAAAAATTGACTGTAATCATGATCCATTTCATTGCTATACTTGGTGGAAATCCTATAAAATGTTATTTTTTTGCTCCTTTATAGGTCGTAGACCCTATCATCCATTTACAAGAAGAGCCTCTCACCGCAACTATGCTCGCGGCAGCCCCTCCACAAGAGCAGAAGCAAATGCTTGGTTTGTATAGTTCTACAGTATATAACTTCACCCGTGTTCTTAATGGAAGTGGATTATGCTGATACTTGTTGCAGTTAAAATCAGAATCGAACAGTTATTGCTCACACTAGCTGTAAGATACGTAAAGCGATTCTAAAGGCTGAAATAAAAAAAGAAACCATGTCTATACTTACCTGCTGTGTGCAGTATTTTTGCACGTTGCAGCCTGGATCCTCCTCTTCTCGATTGCCCCACTGGCACTCCTGGCCCCTCTCTCCTGTCGGGTGACCCCACAGCAAGCAGCTTGCTATGGGGGCACCCCAGCATGCGCGCTCCCCAGCTGCTGCTCCGTTTACCTTTTCTCTCTTCTTATTGGCTCACTGGCTGTGATTGACAGCAGCGGGAGCCAATGGATCCCACTGCTGTCTCAGCCAATGATGAGAGGGAGTCCTGGGATAGTTGAGACTCCAGTGCACATTGCTGGATTGAGAGGGGGCTTAGGTGAGTATTAGGGGGTGGTTATGGGGGGGGGAGCAGCACACATATGTTTTTTTTTTAACTTCATACATAGAATGCATGAAGGTAAAAACCCTTGAAACAGGGGCGGACTGACAACTCATGGGGCCCCTGGGCAATAGGGGATCATGGGGCCCCTGTGTCCTTGCCCAAACTCAAAAAAGCCTATGAAAAAGATACCAGGGGCATCTCATTGGGCCCCCTACTGACCCCGGCCCTTGGGCAGTGCCCGAGTCTCCAAATGGTCAGTCTGCCCCTGCCTTGAGCCTTTACAACCACTTTAATCCCTTGATGCTAACAATACACATATGTGGCCCTACAGAACTGGGCTTTTTTCCTATGGGGCCACATATATATGCGTATTTGTGCTGTCACCAGGATGCCCTGATACCATACTGAAGAACAGGATCCGGAACTGGTTCTGGTCACCCGATCACAGTAATAGCCTCTAATTGGCTATCACAGTGATCCGTCACCAGTGTTTTTCTTTTCTCTTCGAATGCATGAAGGTAAATATCCCTTAGGGCAGGGGTGTCAAACTGGCGGCCCTCCAGCTGTTGCGAAACTACAAGTCCTATCATGCCTCTGCCTTTGGAAGTCATGCTTATAACTGTCAATCTTGCAATGCCTCATGGGACTTTCAGTTTGGCAACAGCTGGAGGGCCGCCAGTTTGACACCCGTGCCTTAGGGGTATAGATTGGGTAGGTAAGAGTGGCCAGTACGGTGGCTGAGGCCATTCCTCAACCTTGGACTCTTGGGGTCAGTTGAGCAGCGTCCATCTTTTAACTTGTATTGGCTGACACTGGAATCGCTGGGACTCGTGCGCCCCTCTTCAGATTTGCCGGTGGGGTGATCCTTTTCCTTCCATCCATAGCTTGGAGCAGTGCCATAAGGATTACTTTTCACAGTGAGGTCCTTGTACCACATTGTTGGTGGTAAAATCTTAAGAAGATTGCACGTTTGGATTTAACACGTGCAGCCGGACATAAGCAAGTCACAGAACACCGTAACCTAATGAACAAACACTGAGGTTGAAGGTGTAGCCCAGCCTTTCTCAACCAGGGTGCCCAGACACCTTGGGGTGCCTTGAGGTTTCTTCAGGGGTGCCTTGGCAAAATGTCTAGAAATTGCCCAAAACTTGTATATGAGCCAACGTATGGAACAAGCCTGTCTCTTAGTTACACAAAACCACGGGTTTTCCTTGTGCACTATTATGACCTTCTAGCCGCCGGAGTTCTGACAACCAATGATATCCGCTGATAAGGAGGATCTCAGCTGCCTGCACAACATCCTAGTTTGACCTTCCCTTGTCCTTCTCTGTCAGTGCTGGGGTCACCTGGGGAAAAACCTGAGGGAGAAGAGAAATAATGGAATACTAGTCAGTACCAGTGTGCAAAAGTGTATATGCTTTGGAAGAATAAATCACCTCTAATGTTGGGTGCCCTATATGTGTGGATGTTGCTGTGTTATATAAAAAACTACTAGAATAGTTTTTCACATTTTAGAATGGGGTGCCTCAAGACTCTCCATAATTTTAAAGGTTGCCTCAAGACTCTCCATAATTTTAAAGGTTGCCTCAAGAGCGTCCATAATTTTAAAGGTTGCCTCAAGACCGTCCATAATTTTAAAGGGTGCCTGTAGAGCGTCCATAATTTTAAAGGGTGCCTCAAGTCCGTCCATAATTTTAAAGGTTGCCTCAAGACCGTCCATAATTTTAAAGGTTGCCTCAAGACCGTCCATAATTTTAAAGGTTGCCTCAAGACCGTCCATAATTTTAAAGGGTGCCTCAGACCGTCCATAATTTTAAAGGGTGCCTGTAGACCGTCCATAATTTTAAAGGGTGCCTCAAGACCGTCCATAATTTTAAAGGGTGCCTCAAGACCGTCCATAATTTTAAAGGTGCCTCAAGACCGTCCATAATTTTAAAGGTGCCTCAAGACCGTCCATAATTTTAAAGGGTTGCCTCAAGACCGTCCATAATTTTAAAGGTGCCTCAAGACCGTCCATAATTTTAAAGGTTGCCTCAAGACCGTCCATAATTTTAAAGGTTGCCTCAAGACCGTCCATAATTTTAAAGGTGCCTCAAACTTCCATAATTTTAAAGGGTGCCTCACGACTCTCCATAATTTTAAAGGGTGCCTCAAAACTCTCCATAATTTTAAAAGGTGCCTCAAGACTCTCCATAATTGTAAAGGGTGCCTCAAGACCGTCCGTTGTAAAGGGTGCCTCAAGACCGTCCATAATTGTAAAGGGTGCCTCAAGACCGTCCATAATTGTAAAGGGTGCCTCAAGACCGTCCATAATTGTAAAGGGTGCCTCAAGACCGTCCATAATTTTAAAGGGTGCCTCAAGACTTGCCTCAATTTTAAAGGGTGCCTCAAGACCGCCATAATTTTAAAGGGTGCCTCAAGACTCGCCATAATTTTAAAGGGTACCTTGACTGAAAAATGGTTGAGAAACACTGGTCTAGCCTGACCACCTATTTATTTTGCCGTGCTGAAAACCGGCGGACATGGCAGCATGGCCTAAGAGGTGTGTGTTTTGTGTAATGCCAAGGGAGGGATACCCTGGAAGCGTGGCTCTGTTTTAACCACCTTAATCATGTATCTACAGGTGAACGGCTTTATCCCATGATACACAGCATGCATGCATCACTTGCTGGAAAGATCACAGGCATGTTATTGGAGATAGACAATTCAGAAATACTGCTCATGCTGGAATCTCCAGAATCTCTTCATTCAAAGGTATTGAAATCCCATCTTTATATTAACCCTTTAAAGGAAACCTGCATGTTGATATTGAAGGGACGCCGTCTTCTAAAACCTTATCTCTGTGTCAATACTTTGAGGACAAGCACACAGATCAGGAAAGCCATAGTAAAGTCACAAATCCTAATGTGTGTACTTGTCATAGAGTTACAAATGACTGAAGCCAATGGATCAGCATGACAACCTAGGAATCTGTATATTCAGAAGTCGAGGTCTCCAGTGACAGCCGTCGTACTCTTGCAAAAAGTTTTTTCATTTTGAATTTAGGCGCTAAGATGTCACTTACATAACTCTAGTGAGAAATATCGAAGAATACCATCAAACATGATCTTTATTAAAAGAAAATGTGATTCGCAAACCAGGTAATGGCAAGTCAGAGGTCCGTAACCTCAAGAAACTAGACAGGATCAACATGACCAGATGTATTCCCTTGATTGATATTGAGGGTATGCAAGCTGACTCAAGCAGCAAAGCATCGTTGATTTGGCTCTAAGTCCTCATGCACACGGGATGTTTTTACAGCGGCTGTTTTTGGCATTTGATGTTTTTTTTCCCTACAGCCAGTAAACCCCCCAGCATGGTATCCTATGTGTTCATGCACACAGACTGTAATCATTTTTTTGGCAGGGACATTGTTGGCTTGGAAAAAAAACCCCAGGACTAATGGATTTCTAGAGGAGTTTGTTAGCTGTAAAAACGCTCTAACACGGTAAAAACGTCCCAAACCGGCATTTTTTTCACCAAAAATGTTTTTTTATTTTTGGTTAAAAAAACCCAAAAAAAAACGCTAAAAACTGCAAACGTGGGAAAACGCCGCTAAATGCTAATGCAAAATCGCTAAAAAAGGCTGAAAAACTCACGTTATTAACATGACTTTACATGGTCGTTGTGTTGATGTAATAAAGTGTTACTAAATCCACAACAGTAAAATCAGTCTGTATATGCAGGAAAGCATGCTTTTTCTACTCACTGTGGAACCTAAGGGGTTAATCCTCCGCGTTGTATTAAAGGCTGCTTGATCCTGTCTTCACTGATCCTCCCCTTCTACTGTCCCCAGCCCATCTGCTGATAGTACAGAGTGCTAGGACTAACTGCACATGCTCAGTTTGGTGTGTATTGCTGGTTTTCTTTTTCTTTGGGAGGGTGCATGTGATCAGCACAGTCCAGACAGAGATCAGGGGTTTTGCATGCTCCTAGAGCAGAAAGAAAACTCCTCCTACAAGCTTTAACCAGTGCTCTGCTGGACACTGATAGAAGTCACAAGACTGCTATATGCTGCTGATGAGAAAAGGGATTTAGCAGTTTATATTTATACAGTAATTGCATTTCCATTTTCTGTGTACTGTGGGAGACCAGATATAGTGAATGCAGGGTCCGGGGAGAGTGGATATAGTGAATGCAGGGTCCGGGGAGAGCGGATATAGTGAATGCAGGGTCCGGGGAGAGCGGATATAGTGAATGCAGGGTCCGGGGAGAGCGGATATAGTGAATGCAGGGTCCGGGGAGAGCGGATATAGTGAATGCAGGGTCCGGGGAGAGCGGATATAGTGAATGCAGGGTCCGGGGAGAGTGGATATAGTGAATGCAGGGTCTGGGAGAGCAGATATAGTGAATGCAGGGTCCTGGGTTCAGGAACACTTTTTAAGCTGACTATACACTAGTAGAATTTCATTTTAGGAAACCATTTCACTTTTTTAATTTGCTAGTGGGGTCAAATGAATGTTCACATGTTTTAGAAGTATTGCATTTGATTCATTCATTACTTTAGCGCTGCACCTTTTATATTTCATTCACTAGTGAGGATACCAAGGGTGGTCCGTTAGTGCCAGCAGTTTATACCTTTCTACATGCATATAGCGCTCACTGACATTCCATATACAATGGAGTACACAGCTCTGCTTTAGGTCATCATCTACCGCATGTAGTACAACCTGCAGGAGTAGTTCTTGGGTACAACTAAAAGACCAGGACAGCCCAGAAGTGGCCCCAGTGGTTGGCCAAAACCCCCACACTGTTGCACCACATCGTTTCTTAGCCTAGTATCTAGGATTTAGGAAGTTCTCCCTGTGGACTGTTGAGATTTTTAGGGTAGTAGAGTAAGTGGCGGGTCTCACTTAATTTTCTGTCCTCTTTCTCTATCCATTGCTTGGTTTGTGGTGCTTCTCCTTTCTGGGAAGGAATAGTGTAGGGCTTTGTCTACTATCCATCCCTTCCTCCCAGGGAACTTTTTATCTGCTGGTACCAGGGGCGGACTGACCATTCGAGCACTCGGGCACTGCCCGAGGGCCCAGGGTCAGTAGGGGGCCCCATGAAATGCCCCTGGTACCTTTTTTATAGGCTTTTTTGGGTGTGCTGCTTTGACTGTGGGCAAGGACACAGGGGCCCCATGATCCCCTATTGCCCGGGGGCCGCATGAGTTCTCAGTCCGCCCCTGGTTGGTACTACTCTTATGGAAACTGGAGGAGAGTCGGTGTGTCATCAACATGTCACACACATGCTGGCTCTGTCCACAGTATACATGTTAGGGGTAGAAAACTGGCAAGTAGACTTTCTTAGTTGAAAGAGTCTGGATCATGGAGAGTGGGCCTTTTACTTGGAAGTCTTCCAACAAATCTGCTAGGGAAACACCAGATGTCGATCCTCTGGCATTGCACCTCAATCTAAAAGTGAACAGGTTTGTAGCAAGGGCAAAGGGCTGTTAGGCAGATGCAGAAGATGAAATGGCTGCCCAGGATCACTACACTCTGATAAATGCTTACCTGCCAGTAAATATTTTACCAATTTTTTTGCCAAAGAAGTCGAGGCAATTTTTGGTGATTCTGGTGGCTCAGGTCCCTGCCACCCATGGTACATGGATCTTATTTGTCTGGTAGTAGATGCTACTTGGCATCAACAACTTTGAGAAGACTTTTTGTCTTGAGGGCCTGTTTACCATTCTGCTTTACAGCCTCCAGCTTTATTGGCCTGGCTGTTGAAAGCCAAGTCTTGGAAATAGTGGGTAATCAAACAGGGTTATCTACACCATAATTTAAAGGATACGTTCACCTTTGGCAACATGTTACACCCATTGTCTGTGTTGCAAAAAAATTTCTTTCTAGGATATCAGGAAACACCAACTTTTAGCAAATGCCCAGAAAGTGGTACTTTCAGTGGTACTACAGTAGACATTTCTTCAGCAAATGAAGTCTCTCAACTGGCAGCGTTGTCATACAATGATAAGGTCATCGTGCGGCCAAGACTCTTTCCTGACTAAGATTGTATCATTTTTCCACTTTAACAAGGACATTGTACTTCTGTCTTTTTGTCCCAAGCCAGTCCACCCTAAGGAAGTTGCCTTACATTTATTGGATGTAGTCAGGGTGATTAGGGTGTGTTTGAATGCTATCCCCAGGTTTTGTAGGTCAGATTTCCTGCTTGTGGTTGTGGAGGGCACAAGAGAGACTTATAGAATTGTCTGCCACTATTTGACATTGGAACTAGAAAACTACTTTTCTAGTCTCAGTGCATTCTACAAGAGCGTTAAGTGCATGCTTAGTTGTCTGCCATCAAACAGCAATGTTCCAGGTTAGAATAATGGCTACTTGACCATCATTTCATATGTCATCAAATTTTAAAAGGTTGAGGTGAAAGCATCATTTGATACCAGTTTTGGGAGTAAGGTTTTGCAGGTGACCATTTGACTGGCCTATATCATTGCCTTTTACGACAGTTACTCTGATTTTTTGTTTTATTTTTGTCCACCTTGTTCTGGCACTGATTTGGGATTCCCCAGTATGTGATCTAAATCAGAGCTGTGTTCTCCAATAAACAGAAGAAAAAATAGGATTTAAAAAGTGCTTCAGCCATGGGTTCCTCAACCACCATTCCACAGTAAAAACAATTAAATGTATGAAGGTAATATGCAATCACCAGTCTACTATAATAATAAAAAAAAAAAAAATCAACATTTGAAAATGTAAAATAAAACATTTTTAGATGTGCAGTGTGTTGGCACATGTCAGGTTTTTTTTTTTGTTGCTTTTTTGTTTTTTTTTTTTATTTTAAGATTTAAAAATGGATTCCAGCCAAAGACAGGCACCACAGGGAATCTGCTGTCAGCATTAATCTAGACCAACTGCATGGAGGCCCAGTGGGTTGGATTAGACCTTAAAGTGTATGTCTAGCCAAACTTGGCACAGTGACAACCATTTGATCAGGCAAGAAGTGAGAAAATGTGCAACAAAGATGCAAACAAAAATTGGCGCTCTTCATTTGAAAGAAACGATTGTCACTGTGGCATTCCTAGGTGCAGCTTGCCTTGGCTGTGAACACTTTCTCGATACAAACAACGACATGAGGAGGGGAGATGTGTCTTCCATGCATTCCTCTTGCCGCTGCTTGTGTCCGGAAAGTGTTTTCAGCCAAGACGAGCTGCAGCTATGAATCAACCATCTTCTTCACGGTTGTTGTCGGATCTGCCGTGTCAGGAGGGAAGGTCAAATATTCATAAGGACTGGAAAGCACTTAAAAACCTGGGACAAAGTACTACATGTACCCATGACTGTAAAATAAAAATGATGATAGATCTTCTTTAACCACCTCATTTCCCTGCTATAGCCAAAAGACGGCTACAATGCATCCTCTCGTTCTGGGAGGGC